AAAGTCTTTTTGAATTCTTGCAAGCTTGAAATCTCTAACTGGCACCATTTCTGAACCTTTAGAAAGCACAACAAACATACTTATGTACAATTTTTTTGTGTGTGATTGAGCTTTATTAGACATTGTGATAATAGTAAACAACTTAGTTGGAAGTATTAAAATGGACAGAAGATAGAGTATCTTTCAGTTGGTAACTTTGAAGGTAAAAAGAAATAGAAATTTGTAAATTTATTAGATTTGAGTTATTAGTGAAAATTTAAGAGCTGTTATATTTTTATGTGAACTTTTATTTTAGAAAATCAAATAATTCATCAATTTTCAGACTTTTAGAGTTTTATTGAAAATACTAAAAATATACACTAAAAAAAAGGTAGAAGCTTAAAATAGGATATGTGATATGTGATATATTTCCTTAGTAAGGTATGATTTTTTACTTTATAAGATATAAAATTATAACATTAAGGTAGAAAGTTGTATTAGAAATTATTGTTCTTTACAAAATTTACTACCTTAAAAAGTAGAAAATTATACCTTACTAAGGATATATCACTCATCCTACCCTAAGCTAGAAATTTCTACCTTTTTTTTAGTGTGTAGGTTTTAACCTTCTTGAACGTCAATTTATGTGAAAAGTATTTTCTTATAAAAACCTTAAAGCTAGTTCAATTAAAAAAAAATTTTTAATGGTTATTCCTTTTGTGTAAATTAATGTTCTAAACATTATTAGAGTTGTATTGAGATGTCGACAGTTAGCACGCGAGAAGTTTGCTAAACTACGTTCTGATGTTTTGGTGAAGATGGAGCTACTTGACAATAAACATGGTACAGTTTGTTTTTTATATTTTTTGTTTTGTTTGAATTGTTCTTGTCTTTTAATTATCAATCAAAAAAAAAAAAAGTGTAAGATGAACAGTAGGAACAATTAGCATCTATGTCAAGGAGCAATAAAGCAATAACAGACCTTAATAATAATACATTTAATATATATCATCAAATAAATAAAAATAGATTTAAAACCTATTTATTAAAAAATAAAGAGCACTCAGTCTGTAAATTAAAAACAAAACTAAAACTAAAAAACAAATCTAATAAATAGTTGTTGCGTATTTATTTTTTTGTCTAATTTTTATCTAATTTTTTTATTGCAAACAAGAGCTTATGTTGCTAGGGGTTAGATAGAGGCAGATTTAAGATTTTATTTGTTTTAAATGTTTTTTCTTACCGTTACATTTATTTAAATCATAAATTTAAAAGTTTTTATTTCACTTCTGATTACGCCATTAGTTATTAAAAGCGATCCTTATCTTAAAATACAGTTATCAAAAGTGGTCCTCAAAAGCTTATAAACTTATAAAAAAAGTTTGATGTATGTCTTCTTTTTTTTATCACCAAATTTTGCAGTTAATTTAAATTGTTATTTGTAATTTTAAGCGATTATAAATCATTTGCTGTAATTATATCATAAATCTTTTTTTTCTTTCAGTGCAAGATTTAGTCTATCAACTTCAAAGGTTTTTAGAAGCTATGACTGTGTTTCATAAGAACAGTGAAGATGAGCTAAACAAAGCCAATGTGTTTCCAATTGAAGTTGATATTTGTGGTGGATCATTAACACGTACATTTGACAATTAAATTAGTTAAGAACAAAAGAATAGAGTTCTTGTTAAATTATTTTATAAGTATAGATCTTGGTATTTTATAATGCATGACATATAGACAAGGAAACACACACAAAACACTTATATTACATATGAGATATAAATATTGTAAATCTTTTGATCATTTTGACTTAAAAGTTTATTTGGTACAAAAGATTATTTTTAGAAAAGAAAAAAATATTTTACCAAAAAAAAAAATACTATTTTTAATTCATCTTTTAATATTTGCTTTTAGTGGTTTTTATATTATTTTATAATATCAATATTACTTTAAGATGTTCTTCTTTTTTTATTCATCATTTCATTTGTTTACTTTCTTAAAGTTTATTTATATATATATATATATATATTTATATAGTGTTACCATTATTTAATGATTGTAGAGATTTTAAATGAATTTTTTGTTTTGGGAATAACTATATTTCTGTTAAAGCTACAGTTTTTGTTCTTTATTTGTTACTGCTGTTGTTGTTGTTGTTGTTGTTGTTGTTGTTGTTGTTGTTGTTGTTGTTGTTGTTATTGATGTTGTTGATGTTGTTGTTCCATCAGTATCACAATTATTATGATTTATTTTTAGCTTTTTTAAACATATTTTAAATAAACTTTTTATTATTATTAAATGTTGTTTTTAGAAATTGCTATAGAGTAATCTTGTTTTAAATGATAGCTTGATATGAATTAAAAATTAATATAATAAAATAGATTTTGTATTAAATTAACTTTAGTAGATTAAGAATTGATTGGTTTATTTATTAAAATAGATTCAAATCTAGTTGGCTTAAACACTAAAAATATCTATTTTTAAGTTTAAGTATGATTAATGTAAATAAAAGAAGACATCTGGTTGAGGAGTAACAATGTCCAGTGGTATAATTTTTTTTTTAAATATATAAAAATTTTAATAATAGATTATTGTTTATCAATTTTTGTTTTATGTTGAATCAATTTTGTGTGTCTACCATTTTGTTTTTAAAGAATATCTTTTTGTTTGTTTGAAAAGCTATTTAATTTTTTTTAATGCAGTTCTCATCTTATGAATAATTTATTCTGATCATTGTCTGAATAATTATGCATAAACCTCTTCTTTTTGTTCTTCATAAATCATACATATGGTAGGTTATCACATTTTGAAATTATCAAGAAAATTTTTTTTTTTAACTTTTTTAACTAAAAGTTTGAAGCTGTTTAAAAGCATCAGTTTTCCATTTGTGCAAAATTTAACAAATGGATTTAAGAAATGAAAACAATATTGTTCTAGAACAATTTAAAGGTCAGTTGAAAAAAAAAGTATCCTTTTCTTGTCTTTTAAATATTCTTTAAAAATTTAGTTTTATTTCATTAAAAAATTTTAGGTAATACCTTTATTATGATTATTATTATTTATGTTTTTTCCTATTCTTGTATATATATATATATATATATATATATATATATATATATATATATATATATATATATATATATATATATATATATATATATATATATTTACATAAAACATTCTCCATTAAAACAGACTCAATTAAAACTATATGGCAAACAGACTCCATTAAAACTATTTTACAACTCACTAAATTATATCTAATTTTGTTTTAGAATTTCTATGGTAAATGTATGTAGATGTATATAATAAAGAAATCTAAGTTATTTTAAATTAAAAGTATTTTAACTGTTTTGCGAAGTGTAATTTGAAAATAAATGAAATAAAATAATTTTTTATGACAGTATCAAATAACTCAATCAGTCATGAAATTGATGATGTTGTTACTGATAAAAGTGAAGTGCTACCAGTTTTCTGCCAGTCACTAGAAGCTCTGTTACAAAAAGGAATCAAAAGTAGGAATTTCTTAAAGCACCAATCACAATTCACATTTAACTTATTAACATATTTTTAAAATTCTCTTTGTACGAAAGTATATAAATTATACTTGTTTAAGAATATTATATTTAGGAGGTTTGGGTGTAACAGGTTTAGTTGATCGTGATTATTGGAATGTTATTGAAGGTTTAATCAGTTCAAATAAAGTTGTTATAAAGTATGAGTTTAAAAACATTCAGCGAGCCTTTTTTATTTTTAATAATTTTGTTCAGAATATTGCTGGTATTTCAATATATTTTTTTAGACCTTCATTATCATTGTCTCATACTATTTGTCTTGTTCAACAATGTAAAAAGGTAAATTTTTTTTACTATTTTTATTCAGAATTATTTTTACAATGTGAAGGAATATTTTTACTAATTTTATTCCAAATTATTACAATGTAAAGGAATATTTTTTCTACAAAACAATAAAACTTATGTAAAGTGAAGTTATATTATTGCTAGCATCTTTTATGTTTGGAAAAACCTTTTAATGTAGGGGCTGGGGTGCACACTTTCTTTTAATGTAGGGGCTGGGGTGCACACTTTCTTTTAATGTAGGGGCTGGGGTGCACACTTTCTTTTTAATGTAGGGGCTAAAATTTTTGCTAGAGGTAGCAAATATTTAGTAGGTCTATAAATATAAATATATCTAAAAATATAAATAGGTCTAAAAAATAAATAGGTCTAAAAATATAAATAGGTCTGAAAATATAGTAGGGCTACTATATTTAAACACCCTACATTGCTTTTACAACACCCTACATTGCTTTTACAACATCCTACATTTCTTTTACAACCCCTGCATTGCTTTTATAACACCCTATATTGTTTTTTAAACACCTTACATTGCTTTTTAAATGCCCTTCATTGCTTTTTAAACACCCTACATGGCTTTTACAAATAGTTGCTTTGCATTTGGTTTTGTTAAAGTTATTGAAATAAAAATTGCTTTAAAATCTAAATTTGAAATAAAAATTTTATTTTTAACAATGATTTTCTTTTAGACGACTACAACTCTTGCAAGAGGCAGACTGTTTATTCGAATAGCGTTGACAAAAAGTTTGTTGCACCAAACTTTTCAATGTTTGTTTGAAAATCAAGATTATGTTAAAGTATGTTTTGTAGTTTGAAAGTTTATTTCAAATGATCCAGTTTTAAGGAAAACTATATTATTGTGTTATGTGAAATGAAAACAAATGTGCAAAACAAATAATCTATGGAAAACTACTACATCTTTATCATGTTGATTAAATGTTCTAGTGAAACTACTACATCTTCATTATGAAAAAATGAAAAACAAGAATGAATGAAATGTGTACTAACTAGATCTTTATAAGTTAATAAATAGTATTTTATACATCCCTTAGGATGGTCCAGAATTACATTAAGGTGTAAAAATTAATTAAGGTGTTCTTAGCCATTCTCCACAAGCTTAACTTCATTCTACTACATTTCTACAAAGAAAAATAATATAAAAAA